AAAATTTTCAAATTATTGCTGAATACTTTTTAAGATATTTTCAAAATTAAGTATATTTTTAAGATAATTTTTACTACCCTAATATATTATGCCTATTATTTTTTAATAAAAGGTTGTTTAACTCCAAAACCCCTGTTGCAATTGATAAATTTAACGAAAATAGAAAAAATGAATAACTTTTTAAACTTTTTTCCTTTTTGTGAAATGGCGTGTTAATGGGCTCAATTTGACATTTTAAGTAAGATTCTACTCTATTAATGACCGCTCGAATTCCCTTCAAACATGTTATATACTACAATGGTAGATTATGAATTAAATTTTTTAAGTTGTTGGATAATGTATATTGATATTTTTGTGTGTGGATAATTATTTTGATCGGGTTCATTTTTATTATTATTTTTTGTTTCATTTTCTTTGTTTATTAGGATATTTTTTTATATTTTATTTATAATATAGTATTTGTTTTTAAGAGCATTTTGTTTATATTTAAGGATTAAGTGATACATACTTTAATTGCAATGAGTGTAATATGTTTGAAATCATAGACAGCATGAAATTGAGTGAAACATGTGACTACCACAAGTTATTCTGAAAAATGATAGTAAACAATGAAAAATAAAAGATAATAAGTTACCTTTGGTTTAATTTGAATTAGTTATTTCTTGTTTGTTTGTATGGCTTTTATTATTAACGTTTTACATTTAAATTATTGCTACTTGCTTGTATAAAATAATTAATGCGGATTAATGTTAGTTATGATTTGAGTTTGATTCACATTTTTTCTTTGTTAGTAGGTGATATGTAATCCAATTCTATTTCAAATGCTCACCGATATTGGTGTTCTTTTCTGACCTTGCATGACGTGTTTCTCCTAATCTAAATTTTTTTCATTAAAAAAAATGTCTACTTAGAATTAATGTGTGATCGTGGTTAAGTCGATCCAACCCACCTCTAACCCAATAAAAATGAACGGGATAGGTTGATCTGCATTTACAAATTGGTTGAATATATTAGTTCACTTGGTTCTAATTTGTGATGGATTTACATGCCAACTCACCTAAAAATAAAATAACTTGGATATTAAACACAAATTCAACTTCAATGACCAAGTTTTTTTTTTTTTTTTTTTATCAAACAATGACAAGGTGTATTTTTAGGATTTAAAGAGAAATATAAAAAAAATGAATGAGTAAATTATTTTTTTTTTTTTAGTAAAAAAGATCACATAATTCAATGATCCCGGTATATTGTAGTTTTTCTCGTGTACCACTCTACATGGTGGCTGGCTATCAAAGTGAAACATGTGTGCCACGTCATTTTCACAAGGCTAGCATATTGCTAAACGTTGAATAAGATTGAATGCATGGGAATTTTTTAATATGTTCTTTTACTAAGAAATTAATATCTGGGACCAATTTTTTTTTTTCTTTCTTCTGTCTTCTTAATTTTTTCTTTCTTTCTTCCCACCAATTTTTTCTTTTCGCCGGGAGCACACAAATATTACTGGAATGCATGTCATTGACATTCCTATGTCTCCTATCCAGATACATGCTAAAATTAAATACAATGGATATAACCATTTTTGTTAAGCGTTAAATGAGTTTCATGTTGTAAAAGAGTTATTGTGTCATGTCATAAAGAGAAAAAAATATGTGGAGTTAATATATGAGTTTTATAAGAGTTATGTAATAGAAAAAATGATTATGTAATGTTATAGAGATTTGTTTTGCGTGTCGTAGTTTTTTTTTTTTTTTCAAAAAGTTTGAGCCCCACAAAATATTATGTGTGTAGGAAACTTTGCTGTGTTATGTTAAATGATAAATACAAATACCTTTATATATATATATATATATATATATATATATATATCCAAGTCAACTGGTCCAATCAGTGATCTACCAGTCCAACCAGTGACCCAATAACTTAGTATCCCGATTGAATCGATGCTCGAGTCGAGTTTAATAATACTGGTTAGAATCTTTTTCTAACCACTTGGAAAAAAAGAATAGTTAGAATCGATTAAAAAAAAAGAATAGTTAGAATCTTTTTCTAATTTAATAACACAAGTTGTAATTTATCTTTTCGGTGAAAATTTGAGCTTTCTTGAAAGGAAAAAAGCTTTCTTAAACTTTACCCACAACTTTTAATACAATTGAAACCCCAAACTTAGAAAATATATATTTTGAATATTCTGTATTGGATAGGACCGATTCAATAATTGAGTATCCGTTGATCAATTTTAAATTATATACACTACGTTGGGTCACAAATTGATACAGTCGCATTAATTCAACTTAACTTCAATAGTTTGATATCTACTGTAACGTCGCTAACAAATCAAATCATTGGGCGCCTGAAATTCGACCAGAATTATCTCACCGTATTCCAACGTCCAACTTGATTATTTAGAACAAACATTAAAATAATGTCAATTCGCCGAGATTTTTTCAATTTAATTGACAGTCCACATCAGATAAAATGGCATCACAAGATCATCCAATTGAGAAAGTTGTTTGATCTCTAATTTCTTGAGTCAAAATGCCATTCAATTTATAGGACAATTTTATCCTCTCAGTCTTATCTTTAGAAGGGATTGAAGTTTTAATTCGCTTTAAATAGGATCAGAGTAAATATCATTTTTAGTCCTCAGAAAATTTCACGAAGCCCGTTTTAGTCCCTAGCAAATAAAAAGGCCCATCGTGATCCCTCAAAAATTCAAAAGGACCCATTTAGTTGAAATCGTGGTCCCTCACAAATTCAAAAAAGACCCATATTAGTCCTCAAAAGGACTAAAATGGGTCCAATTTAAATTTTTTAGGTACCACGATGTGCCTTTTTATTTGCTAGGGACTAAAACGGGCTTCGTGAAATTTTCTGAGGACCAAAAATGATATTTACTCATAGGATTATTTAACGAAGAATACTTATAATTTATAAAAAATAAATAAATATGATACTATTTTTTCCTCTATCAATGATTTGAATTGTAGCACATCTTTGATATTAGGAGAGTATTGTACTCCCTTACTGAAACTTAGTGCACCCACTATTACAACGAGGGGCTAGCCCAAACGGGCCGTACCCCGATGGCATGGTGCCCGGAGAAAGTTGAATGGGGATACCTCCTGGCAATGTACCAAAAAAAAATAGAAAACGTAAAATATAGATGTCAATAATCATAAAAAGTGAACAAAACGATAAAAGTTAATTTTTTTTTCTATCAAATTTAGTAAAAAAGATGTACCGGTCTTCATTAGTATGGGAGTACTAAAAATATTTTCTGATTAGAATTATTGAAAATTGTTGAATGAATGCACAAAATCCCAAGAACATGACATTCCATTGCCTTGGTAATTCTTGAAAACATCCACCAAACCTAACCCATTTTGCCAGATTCGCTCATTTTTACTTGTCCATAATTGATGAAATTGTTGAGTTGATTTTTCACATAGTAGGTTATTAAATTCAAACATGACATGCTACTTATTTCTTACCTGAAAATATGTTAGTACTATGGTGCCTTAATGCATCCATGCTCCTTTTTTTATTGTTTTGCATTCAATTATGTATAATTAATAGTATTTTTTTTTCAACTCTTATTTTTGGGAAGATTATATTTTTTTTTTTTTTTGTTTACAAACTATACTATGTCTTATCGGTAAGACACTCTTGAGTGAAGTCTTATCGATAAAAGATATGGTAGTTTGCAGGTTTATGAAAAAGAAAATTTGTCAAAATAACTCTCTCCTTCGCCTGATTTCCCTTTATTTGCTGATCTCATTTTTCATTATTTCTGGATACCTTATGGAGATTCTCCTCCTAGCATAAAACACTTCACATATATCTTAAGAATCTCTTACTTACCACCACCTGATAGTCTACCTCCAACGATGCATGAAGTACTAACACAACTTTATAGTGCAACTGAGTTAAAAGAAGCAGGAATAAAGTTTAGGGAGGGAGGAAACATCTCATTACTCTTAAGTTTTTCACACAGTTATTTTGAAATTCCAAAGTAATGGACGAGAAACTGAAAGTTATCTTCGAAATATGATGGCTTTGGAGGAACTTCTCTGCCCAAGTGAAAGTTGTAACACCCCGTTCGCGACCGATATGTTATCATTGTTTATGATATTAAGTGCAGTTACAATCATAACAGTTCATTTAAAAATACGGTAAGACTTTTTCTTTTTAATACCGTTTACAAAATTCTTACATTTATAAAACGTCAGTATTAACATTTTCCAAAAATGTGATCGTACCTTAAAACTATTGCGAATCATAAATACCTCCAAAAATGTCAGTATTTCTCTTGGTTCTTAACACTTCTTTCAACATATGTCCATTCACAGAATATTAATTTTCGCTTCAGAGTTTTTTAGTAAAATTAATTTGTCGTATCTCATCCGCTAAAAATCACTACTCATCGATTTTCCAGAAAAAGTGCATATTCACTTCCCAAATTTCGTTCTGAATACAAATTCAACATTATTTTTACCAAAATAATGGCTACTTATATCATTTCATAATTTTAGGATTGCATGAATCGTCAAATTATCATTTTGCCCTTTGTGTGTATTTTCACCCAAAATTTAAGATTTTCACCCAAAATTTAAGATTTTCACCAATTAATCCTCTAATCCACAATTCAATCATTAATATTTCATTTTGAATTATGTGATGTGTTATAAAAGTTACATCATTGACTATGTTGTTTTCTTTGATTGCCTTATCAACACAAGTAGTCCTTGTTAAAAATGAAATAATCACTAATATGTTAGGTGATAACAGTGATGTGGCTAAATTTTTCAGTGGCCTTGGCAATAATATTGTGCTATTGAATTGTAATTCTAATTACATTCGTAGTTGAATGCCTAATATGAGTGTCCTTGGAACAATGCAAGTGCATCTTTGAGACGTGATTACTGCTGGAATCCATGGAAAGTTTATAAGAAAGAAAGTTTGTCAATAAAACCCTCCTTCTTGTTTTTAATTGGTAGATGGCGAATCAGAACCATGATGATGGTTCAATACTCTTTCAAGAGATACTGGACGATGCAATATCTTCCCTCAGAGCTAAATGTCGCATCCATAAGGTTCACAATGGATTACTCAAATTAAATAGTGATGCATACACCACTAAGGTTGTGTCAATATGCCCTTTTCACCATGATAATCCAAGACTGAAAAACATGGAAAGCCTCAAACTGAAATATTACAAAGATTTCAGAGTATGCGTTCGTGCAAACTTTGACGATTTGGTCTCTCTTGGGCAACAGTTAGAACCAAAGGTTAGTCTTTATTACTCTGAGGACATTCAACTTAGCTGGGAGAAACTTGTTGAACTGATATTGATGGATTCCTGTTTCATATTTGAGTTTATCTTAACTTCTACGTCAACAGATGATGATTGTGTCCCATTCAAATGTTGGTTGGAAAGTAATATAGCGTATGATTTGCTTTTACTTGAGAATCAACTTCCTTTTGATGTTCTTGACAAGCTCTATAATCTAGCCTCTCCTTCGCCTGATTTCCTTCTTTTTGCTGATCTCACTTTTCATTTATTCTGGATACCTTATGGAGATTCTCCTCCTAGCATAAAACACTTCACATATATCTTAAGAATCTCTTACTTATCACCAACTGATAGTCTATCTCCAAGGATGGATGAAGTACTAACACAACTTTATAATGCAACTGAGTTAAAAGAAGCAGGAATAAAGTTTAGGGAGGGAGGAAGCATCTCGTTACTCTTAAGTTTTTCACACAGTTATCTTGAAATTCCAAAGTAGTGGACGAGAATACTGAAAGTTATCTTCGAAATATGATGGCTTTGGAGGAACTTTACTGCCCAATTGAAAGTTGTAACACCCCGTTAGCGACCGATCATGTTATCATTGTTTATGATATTAAGTGCAGTTACAATCATAACAGTTCCTTTAAAAATACAGTAAAATTTAGATTAGGTGATAACAGTGATGTGGCTAAATTTTTCAGTGGCCTTGGCAATAATATTGTGCTATTGAAATGTAATTCTGATTACATTCGTATTTTGGCAGAGTTGAATGCTTATTATGAGCGTCCTTGGAACAATGCAAGGGCATCTTTGAGATGTGATTATTGCCGGAGTCCATGGAAAGTATATAAGAAAGAAAGTTTGTCAATATAACTTTCCTTCTTGTTTTTAATTGGTAGATGACAAATCAGAACCATAATGATGGTTCAATACTCTTTAAAGAGATACTGGACAATGCAATATCTCCCCTTAGAGTGAATGTTGCATCCATAAGGTTCCCAATGGATTACTCAAATTAAATAGTGATGCATACACCCCTAAGTTTGTGTCAATAGGCCCTTTACACCATGATAATCCAAGACTGAAAAATATGGAAAGCCTCAAACTGAAATATTACAAAGATTTCAGAGAACAAGTTCGTGCAAACTTTGACGATTTGGTCACTCTTGTGCAACAGTTAGAACCAAAGGTTCGTCTTTATTACTCTGAGGACATTCAACTTAGCAGGGAGAAACTTGTTGAACTGATATTGATGGATTCCTGTTTCATATTTGAGTTTATCTTAACTTTTACGTCAACAGGTGATGATTGTGTCCCATTCAAATGTTGGTTGGAAAGTAATATAGCTCATGATTTGCTTTTACTTGAGAATGAACTTCCTTTTGATGTTCTTGACAAACTCTATAATCTAGCCTCTCCTTCTCCTGATTTCCTTTTATTTGCTGATCTCACTTTTCATTTATTCTGGATACCTTATGGAGATTCTCCTCCTAGCATAAAACACTTCACATATATCTTAAGAATCTCTTACTTATCACCAACTGATAGTCTATCTCCAAGGATGGATGAAGTACTAACACAACTTTATTGTGCAACTGAGTTAAAAGAAGCAGGAATAAATTTTAGGGAGGGAGGAAGAATCTTATTACTCTTAAGTTTTTCACATAGTTATCTTGAAATACCAAAGTAGTGGACGAGAATACTGAAAGTTATCTTCAAAATATGATGGCTTTGGAGTAACTTCACTGCCCAAGTAAAAGTTGTAACACCCCGTTCGCGACCGATCATGTTATCATTGTTTATGATAATAAGTGCAGTTACAATCATAACAATTCATTTAAAAATACGGTAAAACTTTTTCTTTTTAATACCGTTTAAAAAATTCTTACATTTATAAAACGTCAGTATTAACATTTTCCAAAAATGTGATCATACCTTAAAACTATTGCGAATCATAAATACCTCCAAAAATGTCAGTATTTCTCTTGGTTCTTAACACTTCTTTCAACATATGTCCATTCACAAGATTTTAATTTTCGCTTTAGAGTTTTTTAGTAAAATTAATTTGCTGTATCTCATCCGCTAAAAATCACTACTCATCGATTTACTAGAAAAAGTGCATATTCACTTCCCCAATTTTGTTCTGAATACAAATCCAACATTAGTTTTATCAAAATAATGCTAATTATATCATTTCATAATTTTAGGGTTGCATGAATTGTCAAATTACCATTTTTCCCTTCGAGTGTATTTCCACCCAAAATTTAAGATTTTCACCAATTAATCCTCAAATCCATAATTTAATCATTAATATTTCATTTTCAATTATGTGAGGTGCTATAAAAGTTACATCATTGACTATGTTGTTTTCTTTGATTGATTTATCAACACAAGCACTCCTTGTTAAAAGTGGAGTAATTACTAATATATTGGGTGATAACAATGATGTGACTAAATTTTTCAGTGGCCTTGGCAATAATACTGTGTTATTGAATTGTAATTCTGATTGCATTCGTATTTCGACATAGTTGAATGCTTATTATGAGCGTACTTGGAACAATGCAAGGGCATCTTTGAGACGTGATTACTGCTGGAGTCCATGGAAAGTTTATAAGAAAGAAAGTTTGTCAATATAACCCTCATTCTTATTTTTAATTGGTAGATGGCGAATCAGAACCATAATGATGGTTTAATACTCTTTCAAGAGTTACTGGACAATGCAATATCTCCCCTCAGAGCTGAATGTTGCATCCATAATGTTTCCCATGGATTACTCAAATTAAATAGTGATGCATACACCCCTAAGGTTGTGTCAATTAGCATGTCTTGTACACATGCAATGAAATGAACAAATTTGTGCATTTCTCCAATGCCAAAACTAACCTTGCGATGATGGCGATACAGTTTCTCCAGTTTTTCCATTTCTCTGTGTGTTTCGTGTATTTCTAGTTTCTACGTTCTTTATTTATACACCCCATAATAATCTGTTTAAAGTATTACTTCTGAATTTCTGTTGTTTTAGGGATTTGATCCACCATTTTCCATTTTTTATAATAAATTAATTTAGGAAATTTTTTTATACCATGAAATACTTAGCTAAATATGTTTACACAAACTATGTTGCACCGGATACACACGACACTTCAATACGTTAATTCTAAATAAATGTCAAATTTTGATATGTTAGGACACATTAAGATATTAAATAATATTTTTAATTTATGCAATTAAACTTATAATACTCATCAATTTTACAAAGAAACATACGATGCAAATATTTAATATTATAATCTGAGAGAAATAAGTAAGATGTTGGTCCCATATGAACTCAAAAGATGATGAATTGAGTTTTATAAAAATAATTTGCTAATTAAAAATTAGCTCAAAACAATAATTCAAGATAAGAATATAATCTCCCTATTATATGAATAATCGTCAATTAGCATGTCTTGTACACATGCAATGAAATGGACAAACACTCAAAATTGATATCCATGATCAATATTTACTACTCCTTTTATATTATATATATCATTGACATTCTAGAATCTGATCTATCAATTAAATTTTCATCATTCTAATTGCCCCGACCATATATTAATTAGGGCAATTACTATAGAAATTATGCAACTAATATTCAATTTCGGTGCTTTATGTCCAAATTATAGCAAGGAGATTTCGGGAGGAGAAATACTCAACAAAATTAGGGTTCAGTGTTTCTTATATTGTAACAAATAAAATTATCTTCTATACATATAAAAGTATATGAGGCTGATCATGTGAAAAGAAAAGAGAAAATGAAAAGATGAGCCCAACACAGTTTTATATGTGTGTAGGAGATAAATTCAACATGAGAGACATTAAAACCACAAAATCATGGTTGCACCAATGTTATGAAGACTAGACCCATCGTGGAATTTTGATATTGAATTACGGTTCCGTAGGATGTCGAAGTTACCGTCGTTGTAAGTTATTCAACGATAGTTTGCCCCTGACCGTCGCGAATTATCTGTCGCAAAACACATATTTTCTTGTAGTGAAAGGATGAAACTCTATACATGCAATTGAAGGCAATGAGGTTCCAAATTACATAAGAAAACAAGTTTATTTTAGCTTAAGTAGCATACCTAGTAATCAAAAGGCACTCCCAACAACCCCTACATGTCATCCTCTATATTTAAAAACCTTGCAAGAAGATTATTGGACACTTTGACATACCCTTCATCTCCAAAAGGTTAATTTTCAATCAAGGTTTTTTTTTAAATTGAAATTATTTTATTGTGCAATGTCATCTTAGTTTTTAAGTTGTTATCTTGTCATATTGGGATTAATGTTGAAATTTTTTAATTTTAATTTTTAAAATATTGCTATCATGTATGCTTCAATTGTTTCTTATGTGTGAATTTTTGACTGGTAACTAAAATTTGAGTCTGATGAAGGCCTCATATTAAGCTTGGTTTTTTGCAAAATCGTGTCTGAATCAGTTTGTAGAAACTCATTTAATAGATTATTATTCTTCTGTTGCTTAAGGCAAACATACAAGAAGGTTGTTAGAATATACTAAAAATATCTTTTAATATTTTGATCGTATCTTAGAATAAGATGGGGAATACTTGTCTAAGGGAGAAAGAAGAAGAGAGCAAATGTGCAAAGTTCCTCAACAAATCTTCACATGAGAGAGGAATGCAGAAACAACCCCAAAGTCCAGAGAGCATAAATGAAGGGGAGATGGGTTTAAAATGAAAAGCAAATATAAAATGATTGTTAGGCGCGAAGTTGAAAGGCCAACACGTAACTGAAAGGTCAGTGGGAATGAGGTAATTTCCCGAGACACACATTTAATGCATGCAATCATGGTCTGCGAAAAGTAAGGGCGGCTCACGCTTCACTACGCATGAACCATCAATAGCCTAACGACACGTGGATTTGTGTAACCGTCAAGGCAACAGCTAAAATGAGAAGTCACTCTGATGTGATGGAAACTAGGCCCGACCTTAGCCTCGACATCATTTTTGAGACTTTTACCACGGCTGAATTTAAGTCCTAGCGGAGATGAATCCCAAATAAGTTCTAATGAGAATTTATTCATCATAAGTCTACCTCGACCTAGTATGATGAAAGTAATAATGGCTTGACCCAGCGCCGAGATCTTGATATAGTAACCCGATACAACCGAGGTCTTTCTAAAACTTTTACACCCCAGCAGTCTGAGCTCTAAAACTGTCGGGATGGTGGACAACTGTTATGGACTAGATACATATCTCAACAACGTATCCAATATAAGATGGAGACTAATCCTAACAATCACTACTAGAAAAATCCTGTATAGCGAGGGAATTGCTATGAAAATTCCGTCGCTAATTTTATCCTCGCTACTACTTTCCCTCGCAAATTCCCTCGCAAACGATTTTGCGAGGGATAGTAGTAGCGATGATGAAAGTAGCGACGGAATTTGCATAGCAATTCCCTCGCTATACAGGATTTTTCTAGTAGTGAATATTAATTGATAATCCAATCATCCTATCCCAAGAAATCACATTTCTATTAGGAGTTTACACCTACAAATAACCCCTCTTATAAATAAAGGGTTAAAGTCTCTCAGGTAGACACTTCTAAACTCATTCTCTGTTGCTGTCAATACTGTGCACACACCCTCACACCTTGGCTATATGCATGTTATCAATGTGCAGTGATTGGTATATTGGCATTGAGCCAATTAGATATATCTCTTATAGATATCTCTGAGTGCATACCTATACGGTAAATACTCACGGTCTACTTGGACCGAACATCTCCTATCATGTTACATAGTGGTGGAGCCCATGACTTAAAATAAAAAATAAAAAACAAAATATAGCACAATTCTCAAAGAATGTAGAAAAAAAAATTACTCTCCTACAACATGAGAGTAGTTTTTTCCTTCTCAGTTATCCTTTATCGGTCTCTATATATGTGCTTCATTGAGTGGTGACAATATCTATTATGATTTTTTCTTTTAAAAAATATGTTCTATGTGTAAGGACCAATTGAATTACATACACAATCGCATATAGAGTAAGTGGTAGAGAAAAGCATTACGTTACAAGCAAGTTAAAATAATTTTTCACATTGCATTCTTTACAATACACTTAGATATAATACTTAAAAAAATACGAGTTCCACAATCTGCTTAGCGTGAAGTGAGATTCTATTAACGAATCATCTAATTAAAAAAATCTAATATACTATCGTCATATGTATATCTCACTAATAGAAATAAAAAAATTTAATATTATAATTATGTATTCTACGAAATATATAATTTATAATTTTTTATCAAATATTCAATAGGATGATAATATCAAAAATATTCACTCGTCAATTAGATATAAAGTAGAGTCATACAGTTAACACTGTGTTTAATGGCTTATTTGCTTTTTCTAGTTATTTTTTAAACTTTATTTTCTTATCTAATGTTTCATACTTAATTTATTTTTTATTTTTTATTTTTGTAAACAAAGAGGGGCTAAGCCCCAGAAACAAAAAGAAATTACAAATCAGAAACTAACAAGCTAGACATATTTCTAGCATCAGCAACTATAAGTTCCATCAACTGAGGAGGAGGATCTTTAAAAATCTTGAAATAGAGATTATTAGTCTGCCCAGTTTTAGCTAACCAATGAGCACATTTGTTGTTTTCTCTCTTGGTATGAACAAGATGAATAGTCCAATCTGCTTTTAACCATAATCTCAATCTGCTAGTGACTTGAGAGTCCCTAGGATCTTCATGCTGCTCCTTTAACATCTGGATGGCTCGGCTAGAATCACATTCTAGCTCTATTCTTTTTAATCCTGTTCCCCAAAACAGTTCCAAACCTTTCAGTAATCCCCATAATTCTGCATCAAGAGGATTGCATGAACCTAAATTATAATAGAAGCTTCCCAAAAAGGATCCATTGTGATCTCTTAATATACCACCACAACTAACTTTTTTCATGCCACTAGAAGAAGCTCCATCACAATTCAACTTAACCCACCCTTGCTTGGGGGCTGTCCAAACACTATCGTTGGAATCACCACGGCGCTGATTAATTTATTTGTTTTGATCACTAGAGTCACTTTATACTCGGATGCCAGCAAAGTTTTTCTTATGTTATATATATATATATATATATATATATATATATATATATATATATATAGGGAGGGTTCTTTTGACTCCAGAGTAAGATTTTAAGTCTTACTCACAATCTCAATCGTTGATGGACGAAAATCAACGGTTGTCATTAATAGTGTAATTAATAATTAATTAATTAATATAACTTCCTAAATTATAACCGTTGGATGGACGAAAATCAACGGTTAGGATGGAGAGTAAGACTTATATAAGTCTTACTCTAGAGTCAAATAATCTCTCTCCTATATATATATATATATATATATATATATATATATATAATTACTAAGGCCAGCGGTCACTTCGCAAATGATGTAGGAAATGTCGAGCAAAGCAAATTCAACTCTGAAAATGTTGGCAAATGGGAGATCATTTTCCATACGATGGTTGCATGCGCGTATGCGATTCCAAAGATGACACTTGTATTTAAAATCAGAAAAATATCTTTGAATGCAGATGAATTGTATATTTTTATTCCCAAAACGTTTTGGAATTGAAATATTAAAAATTATAATTATAAAGACTATTATAATTCTGAAATAAATTAAAATATAAAAATATCATAATTTTTACCCTAAAATAATGTCATATTGGACTTACTGCAGATAACTTATCTACAGTAACTAGAAAAAAAGTGAACTCATTTAAAAAATATTTTTTTCTTTTCTTTTTAAGCTCAAATTTTATTGGGCCGTTGCACTGAATTGCTCATGCAACGGGTGTACAGATTATATTTTCGGGAAAAAGATAATACTTTTTCTTTTTCTTTTTCTTTTTGTATTATTATTATAGGTTTTATAAAAGTTATGTTGTAGGAAAAGTGATTATGTAATGTTATAGAGATTCGTTTTGTCGTGTTTTTTTTTTTTTGCTTTAAAAAATGCAAGCCCCACAAAATAGTACGTGTGTAGAAAAAGTGATTGTATCATGTTGCATGATAAATATAAACTCCTATTATTATCGGGAACAACTGTCAAATTGTTTATTATTTTAAAGAGAATGTAGACATAAGAAGAGCATGGTGCATTGACAAGTGCACAACTAAAAGGAGGAGTTCCTTTTCCACATGCACCACCCCAAAGGCTTCACACATGTTGTATCTGCTGTTGGTGCTGCATCATCTGAAGGTTCACTAGAGAGCATGATCTAACCATCTCACCTCCTAAGGGAACCACAGGGAGGCTATCACAATTGCAAATCTCAATCATAAAGCCATCAGGGTCATGAAAAAACAACTGATCTACTTGGATCCCACCTTCCTCTACCATTGCACGCACATAACCAATCTCCATTTCCTTCAGCTTCTTCTCCACTGCTCCCATGCTTTCACACTGTTCATCACAAGGACAAAAATTTCAACCACTTTGTCATTTCATAAAAAACACTGTCTAGTGATGCACATCAATTACTAAAATGATTACCATCAATTACTCAATTAATTTTTTTTTTGGGTACAACTTATTCTATTAATTTACTTGTTTCATTTGGCACTTCCTTGAAATATTTCCAATAAGAAAACTGAATCACGCATTCAATTCGCAGTTTAAAAATATAAAAAATGACTTCAATCTCAAAATCTTAAAGTGTTGAATTAATAATTGATACTATTCTCTAACACACTGTTCATGCAAAAACTCTTTGGACAGTGGGCACAATTTTTATTTTTATGTGATAACTAAATATCATATAAAAAATCACTTTAATCCAAAAATTTTAAAACATTGGGTGAGAATTATTTAATAATTTATATTATTTTCTAATAAAAGATCACCATAATCAGATTAAAATCTTGCCTGGAATGATATGTGATTATCCTTTGGATTAATTTCCGTCTTCCTTGGAACGTTCTCTGGTTCCTCTGCTTGCAGCAAGTGAATTCCAATCCCGTAGCCAAATAGCCTGTACATTATTCACATAAGAACAAAAAAAAATCCAAAACCCAGTAAGAAAAACCCACCAAAACTTATAAAAGTTTCGATCTTTTAATGTTTCTTTGTGCTTTTAATATCTAGAAGCCACTGGTACACTATTTTTCTTTCGATATGTTATATTTACATATATTTTATCATTACCTTTTATTATTAATTGTTAGATCAAAATCAAATCAATATTACAATATCAAGTGAAAACGGTTCAGTAAATTTTGAATTAACGATAACAAAATTAATAATAAATAACAAGAAAAGTAGTGATAAATATAACCTCCGTTTTTTATATCTTGAAATCATTACCATGCCCCATCAAAATCAAATGATCCTGGCCTCCTGATGGGAAAAAATCCAAGAACGTTCTGGTAGAAGTTCATAGATTCTTCCACTGATTTGCAGATAAGAGAGATGTGGTTCACAGACTTTAGATGCAGAGGATTTCCTACACTTTCCTTCATTTTGTGGACAAAATATCCAACCCCAAAAAACAAGAACTAGAAACACCCAAAAAAAAAAAAATGCAAATCAAAAACTTTGAGAGAGAAAAAACAAGAACCTTGAAGAACATACAAAAAAAATAAAAAATGATATAAAGGGTGAAAGAGTTAGTCACGGAAGTCCACTAACTAACGCGAAATGGGTGCCGCTCTATATAAAGGTCATAACAGTGATACATGTATGACACGTGTCAGTCAGATAGGATTTCTTTTACACGTCATTTCCGATTTTCCACGATAGCTAAATGTTCAATAGGAACTCATGCGTGCCACTCTTATATATTCTGTTAACATATACCACTCTAAAAGTTAGCTCAAGAGGTGGAAGTGTCTAAGATCTTATAAAAGCTATATTAGTTGTCCATCTAAACAATGTGGGACTATATATCTCAATACGCCCCCTCACACGAGAGCCCATTGGGCTTGAAGAGTGGACAATGCAACAGACCCAGCCTACCTGTGTTAAGAAACGCCACAAGAGAAAGTGAGGGGCGGCGAGACTTTGATACCATGTCAAGAACCTTGGGATACACCACCCCAAAAACTAGCTCAAGAGGTGAGAGTGCCCAAAATCTTATAAAGGCTATAGTATATTTCTTTTGCTAAATTTAGGAGGCTACTTGCATTTTTCAAATTCTATATATTCAATCTTCACATATTAACGTTACGCCAACAATTAATGTCTGACCTATTGATGATATATATTAATAATCATTATTAAACCTAATACGTCTCCGACTCAACTTGAATATTTCCACGAAATATTTGGTCTTCTTGTCTTATCCATCGATCGAAATTAATTTGGTGTTTGATACAAGAAAGTATGACAACGGTGCTTCAAATGACACTTTAAGCAATGCTTCAAGCTTGCATGCTTTTCCTTGTCATCATGCACTGTGGTGCACATGGTAAATGAATATTCCATATAACTAAAACATATAAAACGAATGAATAAATAGTAGTTACACTGCAAGTTGAATCCCAGCTGTTTGTTTGCTAAGAGATTTCTAGAATGGTTTATAAGTACATAAGATGATTAAAAAAAAATAGATTATTCTGCCTACTCTTAGTTTATTTATTTTTGTCTATCTCTTTCATTAATACCGTTAGATTATAATCTCATTCAACGGTGGAGATTTATGGAATAAAATAAATCATTTTATCCTTTTTATTTCTCCTCATTGCCTCTCTCTCTCTTTCTCTCTCTCTCTGGAAGAGAGCTTGCTTGAAATGAAAACTAACCAAAGATGCGTTAGGGATAGTGATTTCTCGAAACCAATTACATTATCACTATTTTTTTTTTTTTGAAAATAAGGGAATTACATAAACGCAAACTATTGATTATAGCATCAGACGATTATGCAACTTTCAAAATGTAAAGCAAATTAAATAAGGGGTTTGATTTTTTCATGTTGAATGAGATTCAATTCTCATGTTATAGAAATAAAAAGCATGTGGGATCCATGTGTTAGAAAAACTATATGTAGGACCCATGTTAGCACGAAAATCGAAGGGTGTGTAGGAAAATTTTATTAATTCTCATGTTAAATGAGAATTATAAAACCCATTAAATAAAGATACGGAATGTTGATTGATTTGTTTGCAATACAATGAGTTGCGAGCACAAATTCATTCATTGTTTTTTTGTTTTGTTGATTCAATTTCTAGAATTCTACAATATAATGAGTTGCAGGCATCAACTGCATTTATGTTCATAGCATCATTTTTTTTGTGTGTGAATAATTTGAAAAATGATCTTCTAGTCTTCCAACTAGAGGATGAATTGAAATTCACAACAACAAATAAACCTTTGGAAGTGAGAGAAAGGGGAGGAGAGAGAAAGTATGGGAGGCAATGAGAAGAAAGAAAGTGATAAAAGGATTTATTTTATCTCACAAATCTTCACCGTTTGATGAGATTATATTTTAGGGAAAACTTCAAAAATTCCCTTATAATTTTTCTCATAATCATTTATTCCCTCCCTAAAATTTTGAATCATTTACCTGACTTAAAGTTTTTTTATCGTTTACCCCCCTAGTGAGGGGGTAAGTAATAAAGAAACTTTAAGTCAGGGAGTAAGTGATAAAAAAAATCTAAAAAAGGTGTAAATGATTCAAAAATTTTGTGAGGGGATAAGTGATAATAATTAGGAAAACTCATAGAGGGTTTTTGAAATTTTCCCTATATTCTAACATTGTTGAGAGGGATAGATAAACTAAAAGTAGATAGAATAATATATCCTGTAAAAAATAAAAATAAAAAGGGAATTCTATGGGCATGCAAGGCGGGTTTTGTACAGTAATATATACAATGGTAACAAAATAGCAATTCCTAAATATTATATACGATAAAGAGAAGGTGTGAGATCGTCACACCTATATATTATATTCTAATAAAATAGCAATTCCTATATATTATATTCTAACAAAATAGCAATTCCTTCACAAATAATTTATGTTAAGAATAATGCCACCGGCTCAAATTTTTTACAAAACAGATACAAATAATTTTTTTAAAATAAAAATACAATCTTACACTTTAAAAAATATTGCAAGACAAAAATAAATGAATAAAACAAGCGTGAAAACAATACTTTACGCCGTCATTCAGTAAAAAGAATATTGTTTTGCATGTTATGAAATAATCTGTCTCATGTAACACATAAAAAATGGTGAAATTTATTTATTTTCTTTTTTTCTCATCTTCTTAGTGGATCTCACCAATTTTAGTTGCACAAAATAAATTTTTATATAACATGAGAAATAATATCCCTTTAGTAGATGTGCTCTTAAATAATAAATATTTTCTACTTATCTTTGATATTAAAGTCTTCCAAGATGTAAATGATTTGTTAATAAATATATTCATGTAATTGAGAATTTGACGTAGTAGTACTTATGTTTAATTGATAAACTCAATGAATTTAAAGTTATTATGATATGATGTATATAAAAAAAGTTATTATTAAACGTGAGAAATATAATATAAAATCATTCACTATTTATCACTTAATCACATAAGATTTTAGGTTAAAATGTTTATATTATTATATAATATCAGAGCTTATGTCATTAAGTGATTACAAGTTCAATTTTCATTAGCGCTTAATAATATGAGTTTAAATAAAAAATTAAGGGTTAAAAGTTTGTTAGGTTACGGACTCATTTTTGTCTTTCCTGCAGAGATAGCAACAGTCCCAATTGCTATTTTTTTTTTTAAAATTTTTTTTGTGAACCCCACATTAGTTTATTTGTGTAGAAAAGTTAAAATTTTATCATGTAACATGACAAAATTTTAACCCAAAAATTAAACATTTAAAAGTAAAAAAAAAAAAAAAAAACTTTTGAAATATCGTAAAATCCTCTTGCAATTTCGATTACGTTGATTAATTGGACTAATAACAATTAATGATGTCCTTATGGCGATATCCTTATTATATTGTTCGCTTTTTTCTCATTTTTTTTTCTGTTGATGTGCAGTTTTTCATTAAAAAAATTGTAAAAAAATAAGTTTGTTGCATTTTTTTAAGATATATTATAATTTGGGATAAAATATTGTGTATACCTATTTTTATATTTACTCTACCTACTTTTCTTAAATACTATTAGATCAAAATATCAAGATAAGAGAGAAAATATAAAAGTTAGTTGAGATTATGATCTAACAGTATTGGAGAAAAATAAGTAAAATAAGTATGAAAATAGAAAAATATAATATCATATCTCTTATAACTTTAACAAGGAGTTATTGAAGTTGACAGATGACCTATTAATAAAAAGAATAGGTTATTATACTTACTTTTTTTTCTTCATATCTATCTCACCTATCATTTTCTAGATCAAAATCGTAAGAAGACAAATAAATTATAAAGGTTAGTTGAGATTGTAGAATAACCTATATATCCCTAATAAAAAATTACCACTAGTAATCATATTAAATATAATAAATTTAAGTTGATGAATATATTTTTATTGGTGAAGTCAATTTTGTCACTGATAATTTTTTTTTGATACAATGGTGTGAATTGATATATAATTTAATACAAACTATTCAAATCTCTCACCATCCGATTAACCAGAGTGGCTTGATAATTTAAACATTCATAGATTTGCTTAGTTGTTACTTTTTATTAAGTGTAATTATACATTATTTTATAATTGATTAACCCATTTCCATGCGGGTTAGCCATGCGCGTTCCTCTAAATAATGCATGAATATATTGAGAAGATTGCATTGAAAAAAAAAAAAAAAAAAACGTATCATGACGGCAAGAGAAAGTGACTAAATTGCTCATTTAACTATAACAAGGTATATAATTGATTAATAAAACTAATATATCTTATGAAACTAATAACTCATTCAACAATGCTAGGTTGTTACTTTGAATAAACCCAATTTAATTTTGTTAAAAACAGAAACGTTGCATTACGGAAAGGAATTTTTTTTTTTTTTTTTTATATAATAGTTAACCCTCATTGTGCACAGTACTATACTCGCGGAATTTATTAAAAATAACATAGGAGACTAATAAAACTAAGAAAAAAATATTTCTGCAGTTAATGCAGATAAGTTATCTGCATTTATTTCCAAAACGACGTCGTTTTGGTATTAAAATCTTGAAAAATTGTAAATATAAAGACTATTATAACCTGAAATAAATTAAAATCACAAAAATATCATGATTTTCGCTCCAAAATGACGTCGTATTGGCTTACTGCAGATAAAAAAAAAAGCGAACCCTAAAACTAATATATCTTATGAAACTAACTGTTTTTATGGATAGGTACATAATTGATTAATAAAACTATATATCTTATGAAACTAATAACTCATTCATCAATGTTAGGTTGTTACTTTGAATAAACCCAAATTAATTTTGTTAAAAACAGAAACGTTGCATTATGGAAAGGAATTTTTTTTTTTTATGATAGTGAACCGGTTAACCCTCATTGTGCACAATACTATACTCGCGGAATTTATTAAAAATAACACTCAATCTATCTAACCAATCCAACGGTCTCAGCTTTCAAACTCTCCATTCAAACGGATAGGTAATCAATCCAACGGCTACAAATCGATCGTCAC